CAAAAATTTTTCCGGATATCTTAAATTTTCACCATTTCTTCAAAATATTTTTCTAAATTCCAAAAATTTCCCAAAATTTTTATAAATATAAACTATAAATTACCTGAATCTCGTGATTTTCCTACAAAAAGCATCGTTGGAAATGTGATTTATTACGTATTATTTTACAACTAAAAGGGCACTTCTGCCCCCCCTAGCAAAAGGCAAGGGGGGCAGTTGCCCCCCCTGCCCCCCCCAGTTCCGGCGTCCCTGATATTCAGCACAATTAAGTTTATATAACCTACATACTAGGTTTGTGAAAGTTGAAATAAGAACTCGCCAAGAATGTCTCTAAGCTTGACAGTGCATGGCTCAGCAGAATATGACGTGACTTGATTCCGGAAGGTTGGGAGTTTAAATTTTGTGTACTTCCAAATTGGATAAGACTTCACCTGCAGGCACTAATCTTTGTTTGATAGCCTGAAAAGTATAGTGTGCCATGCCAACCAATAGGAACTGAGACTTGGTATAATCAAGGAGAATGCTCAAGTGCAAATTTGTTATAATCGGGACGAATACTTAAGCTAAGTGACATTGCTTCTTTTTTGGAAGCGTTAAGTGTTTCATATGATCATGGAAATATAATTTTCTACTGTATTCGGTTTGAACTAGTACTCGCCATCAATCTCTGTAAATTGATAACTCGACAGGTAGAAGGATATAAGTTTTCAAGTCGTCACGATTACTTATAATTATGCATACAGGAAATAAACTTATTACCATCTCTGCATGTTGGTGTAATAGTTCCCTGAACGACAAACGGGGCATTATCTATTCCAAACGATTCTGAGTATTATGGAGATTTAACATCATCAGGAAGTAAGACTTTCGTTCAATTGCATTTTCGATTTCTTGGAATCTTTGAGTCATGTTGTGTGGAATTTTCTATTCATGTCTTATAATCTTCAAGCTATAGCGAAAGCGAAAGTTAACACAATTAAATATCATGTATATACTAAAAACAGGGCTGTCTGGTTTCTCGGATTGGGAATGCAAAAGTATATAAGCGTAGTGACTGAAAGTATACACAAGCGTTGGTTCTTTGTATATGGACGAGTCGTATTAGACGTTTCAAAATTTAATTTTAATTCGATTTACACTAGTAATCGTTGCTTACGATAAATGATGATATATATTAATGATTAAAATTGTTGTTCACTTGTTCATGCTTTATTCAGTAAGACTGAACGTTCGTTGAGGAATTTTTACAATATTCAGTAATGGTCAATTCATACAAAACTAACAATAGCAGTCTATATATACTGTAGTTCTTTGGAGTTCAAAATGGTTCATCGCGCTTGTCTGATGAGTCTGAAGAGTGGGATTGTTCTCTTGTCTATTCCAGCTTTTCTACAAAATTTTTCATCATATCATTGATCGATTGGGTTGTAGCCCGTCGTGCATATGTGCTTCTAGGAGGAGTTTGATAAAGAGTTACCAATGGTCGGCCATATTTGCCTTGTTTTCCAAATGTAGCATAGACCAAATTCTCGTTATTGTTTAACAGCTGTTGCAATTTTTGTTTAGTCCATATTTGATTCACATCTAAGAACTGAGAACCTCCAGGTTCTCCGCCTGCACAAAGATGAGCCAGATAATCTCGTGCTAGTTCACCACTTGGCTCGTCGTCTAACTCCGGTGCATCGTAGCCCAGCAGACGGCATTTGTATCGCACAAAGTCTTCATTATGGTGAAATATCACATCACAAGTGTCCCCGTCGTAAACCGAAACTACTTTAGTGTATGCTTCAATCCCTTGTAATGTGAAACGTCTGACGTGCTCGTGTGTCAGTTTCTTAAGGTATTGATTGTAGAGTGAACTCATTTCTGCAGATTTATGGCACTTCAGTTCAAGGCTTGAGTTGCTATTTGCTACTGCAGTTTGGTCTCCTTGAAATTCTTCTGAGATGCTGAATGATAACGAATGGCGGTTTGATTTTTCAATTTTGCGCGCTCAAACGTAAAGGGGTGGGGATTAATTACGCTACAGTATGACGTCATTCCTGTCAGTTCCAATTTGGGATCACTTTGGCTGATCCATGCAGAATATTAATATTGGTAAAGCAACCTATTGTTCATAGCTGCTATACGTTAGGACATGCAGCTGACTAATTCCTGTTAATTGAAGGCTGAGGGCTAAAATCTTATGTATACTTGCAAAGAATAAGATCTCACCACCAATCTCTATAAGTATATGCTTGATAGCTCAACAGGTAGAGCAGTGGACTAGATTCCTAAAGGTTGAGAGTTCAAATCTCGTGTACTTATAAAGGATAAGAACTCACCACCAATCTCTGTAGGCTTGATAGCTTTTAGCAGATAGAGCAGTGGATTAGATTCCTCATGAAGATTGGGAATTCAAACTCGTATACTTATAAAGGCAGTTTTCCACATCAACTGTATCGTATACCGAAGCGTATTTATTTGTTTCCTGAGCACTAGGGTGGAACTTATACCTTCGACAGGAAAGAAAACGATACGTTACGATAAGGTTGAAGTGGAAAACACCTTAAAGGATAAAAATTCACCACCATGCCAATACAGCTCAACATGTAGAGAGCAGTGAAGATTTCTGAAGATTAAGAGTTGTCATAGAAATTTTGTATCATAAGGAAGTGAGACCTTTGGCATTACAATATCTATTTCTTGGAATCGTGAGTGTTACGTGGGATGTTCTATTCAGGTTTTATATTTCAAACTATAGCGAAAGTGAAAGTTGAAAGAATTAAACTTTATTTCATGCATTTATCGGTTGAATATCTTCGCATATATGTCTTGCAAATTGCAAAACCAGTTGTTAAGTTTATTAAGGAACACGTTCCATATTAATTTTTTTCTGTGTTGGTGTAGTGTACTCAGGTGAATATGATATTTGTGGTGTTACTCTGAGTGTATATCCACATAAATACAATGAAATTCCAATGTAAAACAGTGTTATGACTAACTGGATTTTCGGCCTAGGACCGCGAGTGTTTACGTGTAAGCTTGCTGCATGTGTATGTATATATATAGGTATATATACTGTACATAAGGCAGGTAACCTTAAAAGTGAACAGAATTTCAAAGTATACGCTAGGGTTGGTTCTGAACAAGTTGTACAAAAGGTTGCGTTCTCGACAAGTTGGATTAATTGAATTTTAATTCCCGATAATCAATACTTCCATACACGATGCTTTATGCTAATAATTAAACTTACTCGTCTTGTTGAACATACATTATTTTATTTTAGAACTAAACGTTTGTAGAATGATAATTTTCACATTGCTCAATGGTCGTTTGACATATTTGAAGCTATATTGTCTGATATAGATGATTAAGAATTATTCCATATAAGAATTATGCTATAGCAGTGTCTACAGCACGGGATGTTCGTCAATACTAATCCAGCCTGTCTATGAAATCGCTCACCATTTTGTTAATGGATTTTCCTCTGGGAGAAGTCTTCAGCGCGACTGGGACTCTTCCACGTGGGTCGTCGTAGAAATCTCCAAACGTAGCGTACACTAAATTCTGGCTTTCATCCAGATTCTCTTGGAGCTCTTTTTTATCCCATATTTCGGTATCATCAAATTCATCAGGATCGTCTCCCATACAAACCCATGCAAGGAAATCACGTACGAGCTCTCCATTCGGTTTGTCTAGCTCCGGTGCATTTACGTCCTCCAAACGACATCGAAATCTCACCAGCTCTTCGTTACGATAAAAGGCCAAGTGGCAAGAGTCTCCGTCGTGGACTTTTACTACCTTCACTTTCGTTTTTAACCCATTTAGGGTGAAACGTTTTACGTCTTCTTTGGTTACTTTCTTTAGCTCGTCCAGACTCATTATTGAAGAATTATATTACTTTGTTCAATGTTGAATTTGCCACTAAGGTTTCGTCTGTCCTTCTGTAATACCGAGGCTTCCAGAATGAGGTTTCAACTTTCAAAGTTTGCGCGCTCAAACATTAATAGTACGTAAATATAACGTCATTTCCGGTGATCGCAGAAGAATTAGGGACGGACCATTAGAAAAGTGATGGGGGGGGGGGTAAATTTTTTATCTTTGCATTTTTTTCCAGCTCGTCAGCTGTGTATGTATGTTTTTTTTAAATATGACTTCTCGCATTTTAAACAAGCCTGATGCATGAATTTTTTCTTTGCATGGATTTTTTTCTGTTTTTTTCCCCCACCCTCCCCATCACTTTTCTAATGGTCCGTCTCTTAGCAATTATTTAACACAGTGGAGGTAACAGTGCAAGGATACTCGCCGACATGCAAAGCGTCTCGGTGAATATCCTACGTTATTCACCGTCTTCACCGACACTGAGGTAAATAATTGTTTTAGCGTATACCGTTACCGAAACAAAAATGACAAAAATATAACGAAAATATTTTGAAAAGTTTTAAAAGCTCTCGTAATAGTTGGTAACAAAACAGTATTTACAAGTTTTTAGTAATTTTATTGATTAGAAATAGTTGTCTATTTTAAAGAATTTTGAACGCAGTCCTGAAAAATACAAGGAGAACTTCGACCTTATGAGCGAAGGCCCTTCGAAGGTTATGCAAATCTGCACTATTATCAGTTCTAAGGGGCCATTCACAAGGATGTCCGAGCCGGGGGGAGGGGGCTTTTAGCAATCTGGATGTCCGAAATTTAAAAAAATTAAAAAACAAATTTCTTTTTGCTTTATTTTGAACTCTCCTTCCCATTGTGAAATTGGCATTTTGAACACTTCATAATATTATCTAATTCTTCCCTTCAATGATGAATTCAACAGTGTCGTGAAATAGGTAGCTTTGGGCATTTATAACTCTTTTTGTATTTACATTTATAGTTATAAAAAAGTTCTAAAAGTAAGAAAAGTTTTTTACTCTTGACATATACAAGGTTGCATGAGTTATTGCGAGGCATGACGGATGTCCGGGGGAGAGGATTACTAATTCGGACAATGCCGGTGTCACAGGAGATTCGCCCCCCAGGAGATTCGCCCCCCCTCTCAAAAGGGGGGCGATATTCCTAGGTAGGAATTTCGCCCCCCCCCCCATATAAATTTTGAATTTTTGATCTAAAAACAAAACGATTGCAAGTTGAAAAGATTTATTGTGTGATTTATTTATTTATTACAAGGAGACAAAATTACATACACCGTTTTAGGCTTCTTAGCAGCTGGTGGTGT